AACTGTCAAGTTTAAACACAATTTTCAAAATTTCTTACGATTTACGTTTTAAATAGTACAAAGCACGTGGTGGTCGTGTGTATTAAGGTATAAAAAAATGCTTATTAAAAGCTTAAAATTTTTATTTTAAAGAAGATCTTTTCGGAATTGAATCATTCCATCATCAGTTGACTAAAAGAGAGAGTAAAAATACCAATCACCATGAGGATTGTTTTTTAATACGGAGTTCCTTCCTATGTTTTCATGTGGCCATACAATGTTTTTTGACAACTTTTTATGTAAGTAGTAAAAAACCAACGTGTTCTTTTTATATATTTAAATTTTAACTTACTTGTTTTTTTTTTAATTGGTATTTTTACTCTCTCTTTTAGTAAACTGATGATGGAATGATTCAATTCCGAAAAGATCTTCTTTAAAATAAAAATTTTAAGCTTTTAATAAGCATTTTTTTATACCTTAATACACACGACCACCACGTGCTTTGTATTCAACAGGTATACTAGCCACTAATGGATATCTCCACTTCATGGTTTGTTCCAGTTTCACTTTTAATTTTAAATAGTAATAAACACACAAATTCTATTCAGTTCTACACAAAACGTATTTCAGAAAGGTTGTCTTTCGTGTAGTGTGTTAATCTAATTCACAAATTAGTCAGGTTTTTAGGTAATGTATATAATATACATTAAATACGGTAAGTACATTGGAAAATTATTACGAACAATACTTCGGACGGGGACCATTCCTCGTCTATGAAGGATCCTACAGATACAGATGTCATAGAGAATAACATGGATACAAGTAACAAATTTTATAATTAAATAATAAATATAATTCCAAAGACATTGGACCATACTATATTATTGTAGAACTTTGTGATTTAAATAGTCGATTATCAGCTGTCAAAGTTGGTCATTATTATTTTTTTAAAACTCAATCTTCAAAAAAAAATATTATCGATAAGTTAGTTGGTAGAAACAAAGTAAAAATTATATTTAACCCTCTAGTGCCCCAGTCCGCCTCAAGGCGGACCATAAAAAAAGTTCCCAGAAATACTATTTAAGTATTTTATAGCTGCAATACCCAAACAGCCTCTAGACTAGGTATGATATGCACCGGCTGTTACAAAATTTCGCCGGCCTGACAAATGTTTTACGCGGTAATTTTTAGTTTAGTGTGAAATTTGGTAGTGGAAGGTCACGTCGCCTCATTCAAATTTTTAAAAATAAAAATAAAATAGTTCTAGCAATTAAAATCCAAATTAAAAATTACAGGTAAGTTTGTAATGTATTATTCTGCATGAATACTGTTTATGAAGGGAAAAATTGACTAAACAAATATATAAAAGGCCTTATTAGTCATGCCCGCCTGAAGGCGGACTTGGGCAGATAACAATGAAAGTTTGCCATAATATTTGTATATGGTTCAATTATACTCGCAGTTTTTTTTACTTTTTTTAAATGATTTCAATAATGTTTATTTTTAGGCATGTACCGGCGAGGTCGATTGAATCTCGATGAGTATGTCGCAAGATGATATATTTGGATTATTAGACTCGCTGGAAGTCGATGAATTGAGTACTGATGATGAAGGAGGTTCTTTGGATGATGAAGTTAGTGAGGTAATGTCTGACTTTATTTATTCTTCCAATACTACCGAGATGTTACATTTGGAAAATGAAGAAGCCATCAATGTCCGTCAGGATGTGAGTGAATCGATATAGAAAAAATATTGATAGCGAAATTTGAGTGCAGAAATTGAAATTGAAGCTTCTGAAGCGGCAACGGAAGTTCCTGAGACAGTACCTGGACCAAGTACAGAATACAGTAAACGGTCACTACCTGGACCGAGTGCAGAAACCAGTAAACGTCAGCGTTTAGAAGAAATTGTACCAAGCAATTCGTTTCTTGGATCCTCAAGTGAAATAGATATAAAAAGCCCTGTATTCAAAGATATTATATGGCGAAATAAGCATATACAACTTCATAAAAAGCAAATACAATTCAAAAGAAGCAATGACTTGCCTAATACTTTTAATGAAGCTTATAAACTTTACCGGTTTTTAGAAAACAGATTGCTGCTGTACTATGCAAACGTGAAATAGGTGATGCCATAAAAACACCAGGGCGCCCGAAAAAAAATACCAGAGACTCAAAAACTACTTCCTAAGAAAACATATTTACCACTAGCTGATATTCGGTTTGACAAAATCGACCACTTTCCTGAATGGTTGGATCGTAAAGGTAAACGCCAATGCAAATTCCCAGGATGCAAATCAGAAACTCAGTGTATTTGTTCAAAGTGCAAAATAAATTTATGTTGCAAAGCAACAAAAAACTGTTTTTTCCAATTTTCATCAAAACTAATGTAAAAGTAGTTTGTTATAGACAAAAGTAAGTAATAAATGTGTGCATAATTTCCAATCAATTATTTTACCAACCTCATACTTTAGAAATATTTGCCTCTACTCACTGCCCAGCTCCGCCTCAAGGCGGACCTTTGATTATAGGGTTCATAGGGTTCAAATTTCATCTCATGTAAAATGTGAGATTAGATTTCTATATTAATGACCTTAAATAATCCTATGGTAATTTTTAAATAAAGAAAAAAAATGGGGCACTAGAGGGTTAAAACTTATAGTACTTATTGCAAATTCCATTATAGGACATCAATTCATTAAAAGTAATAATTTAGTGTCTTACATTCCTAATTGATTTAATTATAAAAAAGTTATTATTAGAGAAGTGAACACGTTTTTGGACAAAAAATACATTATAGAAAATATTGAAATATTGAAAGCGACAAAAAAGTTGTTGACGTTAAAAGGATGAAACGTAAAATTATTGATTCTGATAATGAGGTACAGTTTATACCAAGACAAATGGTCGTTTTAACATTTATAGGAAGTAGCTCTGTTAATATTAATTTAATTAGATTTATTGTTGAACCTTACACATTTACATGTGTCATTTACACATTCAAGTGTCTCCGGTATGGTCATACAGCTAAATATTGCAAAAGCACAATAATTAAATGTAAAAAAATGTGAACAAATCCATGATGATAACGATTATTGTATATATTGTGAAAAACATGACCACAAATCCATATCAAAAGAATGTCCAAAATATCAGGAACAATTTAAGATTAAAAAGATTATGTCTGAACAAAATGTATGTTTTAAGGAAGCCGAAGTTTGACTAAAGAATCCATCTTACTCCAAAATTGTTACAAGTAATAAATTCGAAATTTTAAATAACCTCCAAAATTTTTCTGAATTAAGTGGTAATACCAACCCTAACGACTATTCTAACACAAGTAGTAAAAATTGGGTATCACGTCCCTCTACATTTTTGACCGCAGTAGGAAGATAGATTTACGCTTGTCTCTTGTTTTTTTTTAAAGTATGTATAATACATAGGATTTATTTTGATTTGTACCTTCAGGGACGTTAGGGGTTAAGGCAGGGAAATTTTGTATAGTATTAAGGATATCGAATTTATTATTTGTAGTTACCTTGGCATATGACGGATTGGCTATGGTTTCTGCTCTTAAGGTAGTGTTTCAAAGCCATTATTGATTTTATATTGTATTGGTGTTTAAATGCAGGGCACTGTTTAGAGAGTGAGTTATGTTCAGTGGAGTTGCAATGTAAACAAAATAGGGAGTTAGTGCATGTGTCATTATTATCATGAATTTGACTAAATTTTTTAAACCGATTTGATGTTGATTTGCATTGCCGAGCAGTATCCGAAATCAATTAAAACACTGACCAACCGGATATATACCTATATTGTTCAACATTAAACCTAATCAAGTCTAAATTAACAGTCTTAGGAATGCTATTTCCTTCAAATGTCAAAATTACCATCTGGCGAGGAACAATAATTGTTTTATTATCCGAATCAGTTATTTTCCGTTTTAACTTTTTTACTTCGACAACATTTTTATCTGAAACAATATTTTCTAAAATCATACTTTTCATCCAAAAACGTATTGACCTTAACGACTAACGACTAACGTTATCGACCTAACCAAATAATTCCCTTCTTTTGAATAAAAAATGATGGAATATACGCTACAATTTTATTATTCTTAATAAGCTCATGTTTAATTAGAGAATTTGCGCAAGTATAAGTTTTAAAAATTACTTTTACCTTATTTCTGTTAACATGTTTAATGTCTAGTACATCGTGTTTAAAATATTGGTTTTTAAATAAATAATGACCGACACGTACTGGTGATAAACGGGGCAAGTTTTTGTCTGTAGATTCTACAAAGACATAATAATACCCTGAATCATTTATTTTATATCTGTTATTTAAATTAATATACCTTTTGTCTTCTGTTTCCATTAATAATTCATTATTTTGGGGTGGCTCAACACCACCCACCTTGAGAAACCTCAGGGAGTGGTTTGCTTGCACTTCCATACAATTTTTCCGAGCGGCAGCCTTCAGAGTCAAAATTGCCATGATGATAGCCAACCTTCGTAGCGGAGATGGCACGTGAAGAAGAAGAAGAAGAACACCTCCCCCCGATTCACTCATAATAATAATTAATTAGACGCTACCGTTTTTGTAAATCGGTAGGTTTATTTTCACATTAAATACCTATTAATTTGATACTGACATTAGTTAAGGAAACCGGCATATATTATCGGTAACGATGTTCACCTGTTAACTGTCCAACGAATACTCCGTTGGTAGCTCAGTTTCTTCCTGTTCTAGTTCTATCTCCACCTTTCGCTCTACTTTCTCCATAAAGTAGCGTACTAAAGTGTTCTTGCCATTTGTGGGAAGTGTTTGCTTGTGGATTGAAAACTTTTGTTTTTGTGTTAACCTGTTTGTGGAGTTTTCTGTGTTCGTGTTTTCTATTTAATCGTTCCATTTCTTCGAACTCTTTATTGACTTGTTGCCGCTTTTTCCGTTTGTACTTTTGTTTTTCCTCTCTTCTCTTTACTCGATATTCTTCAACATTGCTCCTAGTCCTTCTGTCGATCATTTCAGATACGCGTTATTTTTCTCTTTGATTACTCGTCTGGATTCTTTAACAAACCCATTGTTTTCCTGCCTTTTGGGTACTTCACTCAACAAATCATCTGTGGTCTTTTGCAGCGTGGTTTTTATAAACTTCCAAACTGCGTTAAATTCAGTGGGATCTACTTCACTTCTAGGATGTTCTGCTAGTTTGGTTGGAAATACGATGGTCTATTAATTCAATCGATAGACAAAACAATAATATTAGGATAATTTATACAATAAATAACTCTTACTGTAATGCTATAACTATAATATTTAAAAGTATCGATAAACCAATAACTAGGTATGCATCATAATGCCCGAAATCCCCAAATAAGAAGAATTGGAGATAGTAGAAATATATTTCATATTTTTATTAACTGGTCTTGAGAATATCAGACGACAGTTGGTCAGAAAAATAGAACTATACAACAAAATAAAATTAAGTGAATCCCTCGTAAAATGGTTAAAAGAAATCACGATGAAATTTCGCAGCTTGATGCTATTTTTTCGAGAATAAAAGCTTATCGTTAATGTGAGTTTACTCCTTTTTTGTAAGAGGTTTTGAGGTAGTAATGTTTAAGATCAATAAAACGATCAAAACCATTTGTAAATCCGTTTTGGATAAAATATATATGTGCACTGTATACTTACCCCTAGCTGAAAACTAGGCTTATCAAATATTACTCGAAGCCATATCCCACCAAGTTCAGACTCTGATGTAAGGGTAAGTTCACCATAAATCCGATCTGGCTCATCGGGTTTCCTAGCTTCATATTTGAACCAATCAGGACACGGTGATACGAGATCTTGACTCATTACACTGCTAAAAAATAACAAAACTAGTGTAAACCCAACCCCGTACATATTTTCCCACTTTTAGAACTAAAAGTTAGTAGATTCGACTTTGGGTGTAATCACTAGATAATTTTAATTTTACTGTAAAACTGTAAAAATTATAATTGGTTTTTAGCGATGAGTAGTGATTGTTAACACAACACGCTAAGATATAATTATTGTCTTTGTGTAGCTACTTCACCTATAATGCACACTTGACATTAAGGAAAAAATATAAGAACCATCAGAACCGGTCCCTCGATTTATTATTTCAACTATTCTCCGGGGTTTTTGTCACACTCTTCGTTTTAACATAATTTTGAATATAGATAGACCATTAAATATGATAACTAATAATTTAAAAATCATAATAAACTGTGATCATAAACCAGTTCTTTTCAATTTCTCAAACCACAATTAACCTTTCCGAGACGGGTATATTTTGTTAGGTCGGAGGCACTGGACGCATAAAATTTTCATTTTTCAAACCAACATTTAGAATATTGAGCTTTGATAGAAAAACACGTTTCTATTCCAATGAAAATTGTAGTAATAATACTGTAAAATATAAACATAAATTAATAATTGTGAAAGTAAATAATATTGCATAGCATAAACAAACAAAATCATAATGTTACGTTATAAAAATGATACTTTCTCTCCCTTTTTAACTGTAATCATTGGGATAGTACTCAAAGCTTTACTCAAACTTGACACTCCGGCTAATAAAAATAAAATTTATTGAGTACTCTTAATCTCCAAGGGGAGTATTCTCTTAGAGAAATTGCTTCTTCCTTTCAGAAGTTCAAAAAAGAATCCACCAACCAATATATATTATTTATGGGCCCTAGATATTCATTTATTAACCTGTTAATACCTCCTCCATGTATTTAACAAAATACTCGATCTTAGGACACACACAAAAAAAGAATATTTATGGTTAATGGATTACTCTTGAACAAAATACATCCCGGGGTAAACTAAATAGTGTGTTATAAAAAGAAAACAATATACCTTCAAAAAAAATTAAATAATTTATTACGAAAATATAAGTTGTTATTTCAGAATATCTGGCGACAAAATAAAATTTTAACATAAATTTCATCTAACAATTTGACTAGAAAAATTAAGAAAATCTTTTCATGGTTTAAATAAATTAATTACGAATTTTTATTATATTAAACCTTTGATCAATGATATGAATCAGACTAAAAATTAATAGATAATTTTTTGCCTGATCACTCAAAAACTCAATTCAACCAAAAAAGGTACCATGCGTTTGATACCGAATTAGGACAGTGATATTGTTCAACAAAGGACATTTTTAATTTAAATACACTGATATTGTACTTAACTTAGTTAGATTCTGCCATTGTCCCAGCCGTCTACAAGTCGTAACCAACCATATGAAAGGTCTTCAATACCAAAATAATTTGATCTAAACCACTAAACACATCCAATTTTCGGAATCACCCCAAATCAAATTAGAAATAGGGATACCTAACAGAAATCACTGTTAACCCTCCGTCGGTTGCATATGTATCAAAATGATACAAGCTCGCTAATTTTTAGTAGCTCCTTCGTAGTACCTTAGACCGGTTTAGTCTACCGCTTAGTCGTATTCGTAACGTTCTAGTGATTGAGTGTGTTTACATACAATCGTATTGTACCATATTGATACATTGCGACGTAACGTATAAGCGTTGTTTTACTTTGGTCGTATTTTAGGCTATTAGGTGAGTGTTATTTTATATTTTTATTTTCAGTATAGCCAACGGATGAAAGAGTTGGTGACTCTGATACTGAAGAGAGTAGGACAGAGGAAGAACTAGATTTACACGACAATGTATTTTACTTTAAAATAGATGAAACCCTTAAATGGATGAAAACACCGGGCGCGAAGAAGCGATGCACTGAGCCACATAACCTGGTTACACGTCTCCCAGGAGTAATACATGAAGCACGACTAGGTAAGTTACATATAGAATGAGTCAAATATTTTATGATAAAATGCTACAAACAATAGTCAAGTTCACAAACTAGTACGTTCATACTGAAGTAAGGGATTGCTTAGACCGACAATGTGATGCAACTGACACGGACATGACAGAACTCAAGATCTTCATAGGCCTTTTATATCTAGCAGGAACGTTTCACTCTAACAAAATGATGTTAGAGGATCTCTGGGACACAGATGGACACGGCGTGGAAATATTTCGACTGGTTATAAGTCTCAGAAGGTTCAAGTTTCTTATGAGATGTCTGCGTTTCGATGACCGCATCACAAGACCTGAAAGGAAAGCTGTTGACAACATTGCGCAGATTCGTGAACTGTTCGACGATTTTGTTCATAATTCTAGACATAGCTATTTACTAGGACAGTATGTGACTAATGACGAAACACTGGAGGCTTTTAGGGGACGTTGCAGGTTTAAACAATATATTATCCATCATAATCTGAATTCATAATCTGATGTCGTTAAAAGATTGGCACAACCTATTTATAGAATTGAGCGCAAAATAACAGCAGATAATTGGTTTACAGATGTACAACTTGTTACCGAAATAAAAAGTAATAGACTGTCGTATGTTGGCACAATGAAAAAAAAAAAGGGAACTGCCAGTGGATCTGCTGCTAAATGTAAAAGAGCAACCACCACAGTCAACTATGTTTGGTTTTTGAGAACACTCCAGTATTGTTTCCTACGTACCAGAAAAGAATCGAAATGTTTTTGTTATATCTTCTCAGCATTACGATGATTCTATAGATCAGACGTCAGGACAAGCTACGAAACCAGACATGATCACAAATTATAATAAAACCAAGTCAGGTGTAGACGTTGTCGATAAGCTTTTCTCTTCCTACAACGTTGCTAGAAACACATGTCGTTGGCTCATGGTCGTCTTTTTTATGCTGAACGTTGCAGACAATAATGCCCAAGTAATTTCAATCGGACATGGACAGGAGAATATACAACGTCGCCTTTTTCTTCGGAAACTAGGAAATGAGTTAGCTTTACCACAATTACAAAAAAGAAGTCTTATGAAACAAGGTATACCACGTTCTCTTTCTGAAACGCTGAGCAGATTGAGACCAATGGAAGAGCCCGATGAAGAAACTGGACTAGTGGCTGCAGAAGATGGAGCTCAAACAAAGCGTTGTCACTGTGGTTTGTGTTACACATCATGTAGGATCAGGTTGACCAAAACCATTTGCAAGAATTGTAAATGATATATTTGTGGCGAGCATACAACCCCAGTGTGCACATCATGTCACTCAAGGTTACAAGAAAAAGAAAACTCAAGTGACACATAAGTGACAGATCACCACAGCATTGGTTTGAAATGTTTATAAGAAAATAATATATTTTATGTTTGCGTCATATAGGAAGGCAACATTTTATTTTTACTAATTTATAATGTAAGAAATCAAATCATTTTATACGAGTACTTAGGTTATATTTCTATGTAAGTTACCGTTTTTTGATAATATATAAATGTTTTAAATCCCACTAAAGAAATAAATTATAAAAATAATAAAAAACATAACTAAACCACCACATATATCTGACTGCGTGTTAGTAAATTTTATAATTACGTATCAAACGGATACGTTGCGACCGTTGCTGTCAATAGCTTTTTACCTGTCACGTCTTTAGATTTACATCCACAAATAGTTTTTTTGTTATCACAATGTATTTACACAAACAAAAAAGGGAAAACCTAATTAATTATTGGATGTAAGCTACAACTACGCTTGATCCAAAAACTATTGCTGTTACTATAATTTTAAGTCAAAGTTAGATGTATCACATCGAGTTAGAATCTATTTTCATTTTTTTACATTTTTTAGAAAAATATATTGATAGAACTTCACTTTCTTCTATTCGTTTGAAAGACACTGCTGTTCCAATAGCTTATATCATACAGGTAATATGCTAAACCTAGTTAAAAATAGTATTTAATTAGGTTTAATGATAACTCTTATTAATTAAAATTATTTATTAACTATTATTAATTAGTTTAATTTAAATTTAAATTCAAAGCTTTTTCAAATCTAAACTAAATAAAATACCACAATAAAACCAAAGAGTACTTAAAGAAGTTTTGTACTGTGTTTATGGATATGTTCCTTTTTTTATTATTCTTGGTAAATACTTATTTACAGTAAAGTAAAAATGGAAGATACATATAATAATTATGAAAATTATTTGGTTATTTGGAGTTATTTGGAATAAAATTAGTTTCACTTTTAGTACTTTTCAAGTAGGTACACATCTACAATATTTTCATGGTAGATTTTATATGAATTTATACCTAATAACATTTTTGCTTCTTTTTACATGTTCTGTTTTTCAGAACCAAATTGAACCTCCATATGAAGAAATGCCCAGCACATCAACTAAAATGAATAATTCTGTTGATGTTACACCAAGAAAACGAAAGTTAATTGAACAATTAAATCGCAGCCAATTAATAAATAGCGAAAGAAGAAGAAAATTGTCCTTAATATAAAAAAAAACTAATTCGAAGAGACAAAAAACTTGCAATCATGAAGGATATTGTTTCAGAACTTAAAAAACATAATTATTTAGAGGAAGCAGTTCTTTATATTATTTCCAAAATAGGTGGACCAGAAGAATTGTTTTTAAGGCAATATAAAAAAATTAAAAATCAATCACTACCTCGACAATATTCAGAGCAACTTAAAGTCTTTGCTTTGACCCTACATTATTATTCACCTGCTGCGTACAATTTTGTAAGAAGAGTTTTTCAAACTTGCTTGCCTCACCCAAGAACATTGAGTAGGTGGTATCAAAGTGTTGATGGTGAACCTGGCTTTACTACAGAATCTTTTCGAGCTTTAGAAACAAAATCATCTATAGATACTGGTAAATTATATAGTTTAATTATAGATGAAATGTGTATCCGACAACATGAAGAATGGGTTGCAAAAAAAAAATGTTATGGTTATGTTGATA